GGCACCCACCCCGGAGGGGCAGCAGCCACACAGCATGGTTGAGGTGAAAATGCTTGCAGGGAAAAAGCTGGAGACGACACCCGGGGAAACAGCCGGCGCTGCAACAGGCACGCCGCGAGTCGCCACCCGCCACTTCAGTGTGAGACTTGACAGCGCGGGGCTTTATTAACGCGCCCAGCGCGAGCCGTCTGCTTGCGTGGAGGTTCTTACACCCTACCCTCCAAGCGCTCCGAAACTCCCGTCTTTTGCGCTCATTCGTTTCCCACATTTCATTTTTTCGTTACTGTGTCACAGAATCACACAGAATCACAGAATCGTAAGGGTTGGAAGGGACCTCAGGAGATCATCCAGTCCAACCCCCCTGCTAAAGCAGGCTCACCTAGAGCATGCTACACAGGACTTCATCCAGGCGGGCTTTGAATATCTCCAGAGAAGGAGACTCCACAACCTCCCTGGGCAGCCTGTTCCAGTGCTCTGCCACCCTCAGAGTGAAGAAGTTCTTCCTCATATTCAACTGAAACCTCTTATGTTTCAGTTTGCATCCATTGCCCGTCTTCCGATAGCTCTGTAAATTGAGACCGAAGGGGCATTTCGGTTCGAGCCTGCCCCTTCTCCCGGTTTGTAATTGCTCTGTTCCCTTTTGGCCAAAACCTGGCAGGAGGGAGACCCAAACGTGATGAGTTTGTTCCTTTAGGGAAGGGGTCGAGCCCTGCGTTTTCCCAGTAACATCCAGCGGGGGCTTTTAGAATCATAGAATGTTTGGGGTTGGAAGGGACCCCTAGAGACCACCTAGTCCAGCCCCCCTGCAGGGAGCAGGGACACCGCCAACCAGATCAGGTTGCTCAGATAAGGTTTCCTTTGGGAACCTATTTTCATGATTCTAAAGTTAATGTAATCTTTTTTGTTGTTGTTGTTTTATTCAATCGCCTGCCATAATCCCAGTTCCACTTTGCCCGGGCTTTAAAGACCGCACCTGGGGCGCAGCGATTTTCCCGCTCTGTTTTTCTCGGTTCAGCCTCTTCAGACGCCTCATCCCGAGCGGCGGGGACGGCGGCGGCGCGACCGGGGCCGCGCCAGGACC